TAGTCCATGATCGGACAAAGTTTGTCAAATACAAACGAAACATGCTACAGTGTCCAAATTGCAAAAAATTGTAATCTAAACAAGGCCTAGTAGTCTCTGTTGTGAGATTATTAACCCCATTTCTCTTTTGCCTACGTGGACAATAATTCTGAGCTGAAGCCAACAACCTCGGAGAAATGGGGTACGCAGAGTTCTTCACTCATACCCTATGCTAGTATGCTCACGGCGACACGTGCGCAAGCTGCTCTGTTAAATTTATCAGCCGGCTTATCAGCTAGAATCTATAGTATTTTTCTCTTATGATAAAACAGCTTCAGCCGGCTTATAAGCCGGCTTTAATACCAGCCAAACAGGTCAACTAAGCCGACTTTAATACCAGCCGAATAAGCCAACTGTTTAGTAGCTGAGCTGCCGATGATCACACGTGATGAGCTATGGGGACTGGGGGTTCAGACCTCATTTTTTTCAATCAAGCAGTATTTTAGTTCAGACAGACTCGAGAAACTCATCCGTGTGCACAGGCACGACTGTACGCGTACGGGCAAAAGAACTTGCTTGATCGTGGTCAAGTCATGTCTTTGAGTCATGGAGTAAAAGACGAACCCATATGCTCAGCCATGTCCGTACGGGCAAAAAACTCAGCCATGTGCACGGGCCGGGCGCACGCTGCTCCGGGTGGCAATGATATGATCACGCGCATGAAAACATTATGAGCTGCGACAAAATCAGCGACGGTCCAAACTCTACTAGTGTATGTATACAGATGTTTTTAGCTCTTACCAACCTCTTGTGTCCCTAGTGCCTTAGATCGGTTGGCACTCAGTGATGATAGAGACGGATGAAAAAGAGGCTTTTACATATATATATATATATATATATGTCATTAAAAAGTTTTAATTACATACAAGCCATTAAAAAATTGACCCGTACACGAAGTGCCATCGTTACGAACTTCTTTGCTCTCCAAGCCATCCCGTCGATTGTTACATTCGATTTTTTCATCGTTACATGTGGGCCCGGTCAAGTATAAAGGTCCAAAATACTCCTCTCATCCCTATCATTATAAAGCCTCGCGCTTCCTTCATTATCATCACCCGCCGGGCCCCACATCCACATCCTCCTTATTTACCGACCGCCGCGCCGCCAAGACGCCTTCCACCCCAGCGCTTCGCCGCTTCCCCGACGCCGCCCCCCACAACAACGACTCCCCAGCATGTGACAAAGAAGCCGGACATGGGCGCATGCCTTGCTGCTCGCTTGCTTGCTCGCCTCCTCTTCGCCCCGCCGCCACGTTTCTCACCGCCGGAGCTTCCGAGGCAGAGGCGGACTCACGCGGCGCCGCCGCCAGCAGGGCATGTCCGGCGGCGGCGAGTGGGAGCGAGACGACGCCGCTCATCAAAGACTTTCTTGCCGCGGCCGTCGTCAACGAAGCTCCGTCACGCGGGCCGCGGAGGAGCCCGACCGATGCCGACGCCGACGACGACGTCGACGACGCAGACGTCGCGCGCCACGCTGGTGGCCGTGGCGGCGAGGCCAACAACTCGCGCCGTGGAAGGCATTGCCGCCGAGTCGCGCGTGAACACGGCGGGACTACGTCACCGCCGCCGCCACCGCTCCGACCTCGAGCTCGTGGCGCGCGAGTCCACCGCCACGCGCGGCGCTGCAGCCATCCATCAAGCAGACCGCCTACGAGGACGCCGCTCTTTGGAGGGGCGGCGCGCAGCGCGCGTAGGCTGGCGTGGATGACGACGCTGCCTGCCGCCGAAGGGATAGGCGGCCACGAAGCGCGAGCCCGAGGCGGCAAGTGGCGCGCCGCCGCCGACGGAGGGGATGACGGCCATGAAGCTCGAGCGCGAGCTCCGCCGGGCCTAGGGGATGGCGCAGGCAGCTGGGCTCACATCTTAGCGCGAAGCGCCGAAGCTCCGCCGGGCACGCGGACGCGAAGGCGAGTGTGAGCTCCGCCCGCCTGGGACGTGTGGACTAAAGAGCAAGAGGATAGGACAAGAGAAGGGTATTTTGAACCTTTATACTGACCAGGCCCATATGTAACGGTGAAAAACGAACAAAACACCGATGGAATGGCTTGGAGAGCAAAGAAGTTCAGAACGATGGCGCTCGTGTGCAGTCAATTTTTTTAATGGCTTGTGTGTAATTACAAACTTTTTTAATGGCATACATGTAAAAGCCTCATGAAAAAATATCTTTCGATGGCTTTTCTAATTAGTCGGATTTTTAAATATACTATACTTTATTTCAGATTTCTGGCTGGCTAAAGATTAAGAGCGGGATTAGCTCTCTATACTATGTATAAGATATTTGAGGACGAAAATATATAAAAACAATTTATTCAAATAATCTAAATGATGATTTAGAGATTGTGTTTAAGAAAGACACTAGGAAATGCTCTATGCCATCTGATATATATACTTGTATAGGATAAACTTGCATTTAGCTATAAGAGACCAGAACTTCGTTTAAAAAAAAAAGATGCAAACTGATCATAGATTAGTTGGTTGGGTTCCTTGTGGTACGGTGGAACCTGCCCACCCGGGTTCAATTCCTAGACTTAGCACGAGTGCTCGCATTTTCCTGGGTTTATTCTAGGATTTATCGGCGCTATGCTTTCAGTGGTAGGCGACGTTCTCGTCGATAGCGAGACGCCTGTAGTGACTTCGTGAATCTTGAGATCTGTCGGCTCAGTTCTTTAGAGATACTTATAGGGATATGGTTTAACGTACGTGTTCATAGAAGATGAGTGTGCATGGATGTTATGAGCGTCTACGTGTACCGTGTAATCTTTAAAACAAAAGACCAAAACAGTTAGTTCCATACAACATAAGAGTTGTATCGTTTTCTCTAACTTTGCTCGTGGGCTCCGCTTTAATATATATTTGTTGCCGGCGGGTGAGACACACATAATATATATATATAGACACACACAGGCTAACTAATACATCCACGTGATAGATTAGAAAACAATAAACTTTTAGCAAAAAACATCAAGGGCAGGCTTCATCCATCGCTAAAACGTAGGTTTGACTTTGATAGATAGGATCAGACTACTAGCCCATTGGTTATTGTTCGCTGAAATTCCTGGCCTATGGATGCAAAGACGGACATTTTTTACAATTCCACTCTAACTAAGGCCTTGTTTAGTTCCAATAAAGTTTTTAGAAGAATCATCACATCGAAGGGCCACATCGAATGTTTTCATCCATCATGGAGCATTAAATGTAGAGGTTTAAAAGAAAAACTAATTGCACAGTTTGGTGGGAAATTGCAGACTAACGTTTAACCTAATTGGTCCATTGTTTGAACACTATTTACTAAATAAAATGGAAGGTGCAAAGAAACCCAAAATCTAAATTTCGCGAACTAAACAAGGGCTAACACAATTTTCGTGAAATTGCTTGAGTATTTCTTTGGCATCCAAGTATCCAACGCCCCAAATCCCCGATTAAAAATGCCGCCAGTCTGAAACGAAATTCAAAATCCCACGTCGTCCTGTGTGAACTTGCGCCGCGCAGGGCACACCACAGCCCACAGTGTGCGAACGCAACGCAACGCAAGTGGACCGTGGCCGCGTCCCCCCTACCCAACCCGCAGCCGCCCGGAACAGATCCCGCGGCCACGCGCCATACGTGTCGACAGGCACAGCACCCTCCTCGCCCCCGGTGTGTGAACGGATCCCCAACCGCATTACTGATTACCGCAACCACCCTCCCTCCGCTGGACTCGCACTCGCTCCACAAAAGGCGCGCGCCGCGGCTGTCTAAAACGGCCTCGCTCCTGCCTCCGCCAAACAGTCCACCGCGCTGCCGGTGCTCTCTCTTTCTCTTTCTCGTCCGCCATGGATGCTTCTAGTGCTATTACTGAAAACTAAAGCAGCCCCTGCCGGCGGCCCCCATTCCCCAGGATCCTCTCGTCCGCGGCCACGGGCGCACCGAGCTGCTGCTGTCTCCGGTAAGCGCCGCTCTCGCTCGCTTCGCCCCTGTAATCAGTTCCCGATCGAGCAGTTGCCGCCTGTAGTTCCTGGTGTGTGTTGCTTGTTGTTTGTTTGAACCCGAGGAACCGCCGCTCCTTCATTCGTTTCGTTCCTGCTGTTGCATTTGCATTTTCTTGCCCGCATCTGCGGTAGTTCTCGGGTTCTTGGCAGCGCGGGCTCTCAAATTTCGAGAGTGTTGTTCGATGAACGAAGCGAAATCGTAGCCCACTGAAATGAGCTTTCGTGGGTGCCGATTTCCTGTGTTGTGCCGTCGGCGTAGGAGTGCAGAGGATCTCTCTGCTTGCAATTGCAATCGAGGTGCTCATCAGCCCATGTGGTGGCGCCCATTATTTTTAGAAATGGGGTTCGAGATTGGATCCCATCTCGTTGATTAGTATGGCTTATGTGAACAGAAGAACGGCTTTGTCGTAAATTCTCCAGTACCCGTCATAAACTCAGTTTCTGACCCCTTTTAGGAAAACGTGACATTCCGTCTTCTTGCTTCATTTGCAGTGGCTTCGGAAACCATCCAGCGTCCTGAGTATAGTAATTAATTTTATCATTGGGGTTTAGGGTTTGCCATACTTGCATTTTGTTTCTCTCACGGTTATGATTATCGAAACTACTGGTAGGTGTGTGCAGCAGTTTGGGGGCCTCTAGTTAACCAAACCCATTTATGAGTATATTCTTCTATCATACTATATTATTACTATGTTTTACATGAGTACATTCTACTTGGTGTTAGTATGTGTCCCAGAACAGTAGGCGGCGCTTCCTTCAAGATTGATAATGTTATACAAAAAAGGATTTGTACCATCTTTTATTGGGAAAATTAAGTAATTTGTAGTTTAATCAAATTGTTCTAGACCGTTGCTTTGTTACCAACGTGCGCAATTTTTTTATGACAACTGTTCATACATGCAATCCCCGTTTGATTGTGCGTTGAACTACTTGTACATAGGAGGGGAAAAAAAGGATCTTCTGCTGACTTCTATGCCAAATTTTCAGGGACAAGATGAAGCTGGTTTTCTGGCATTGTTTTTTTCAATTCTTCGTGTTAGTTTCAACATCACAGGGTATGAGTTCAGATGGCCTAGCTCTTCTTGCTCTGTCCAGAAGCCTCGTACTACCAAGTTCCATAAGATCCAACTGGTGCGCTTCTGATGCAACCCCTTGTGCATGGAATGGTGTTGGTTGCAATGGAAGGAACAGAGTGATTTCTCTTAACCTATCATCATCAGAGGTTGAAGGTTTTATAGGACCTGAAATAGGGCGTCTGAAATACCTGCAAATTCTCATTTTATCTGGTAACAACATATCTGGTTTGATCCCTCCAGAATTGGGCAACTGCAGTATGCTTGAACAATTGGATCTGTCCCAAAACTTACTTTCTGGCAGTATACCAGCATCAATGGGCAACCTCAAGAAATTGTCAGCACTGTCACTGTACTACAACTCTTTCAATGGAACAATACCAGAGGAGTTGTTCAAGAACCAGTTTCTGGAGGAAGTGTACCTAAATGACAATCAGCTCAGTGGTTCGATACCCTTCTCGGTTGGTGAAATGACAAGCCTTAAGTCATTGTGGTTGCAGGACAATATGTTGTCTGGAGTTTTGCCCAGTTCAATTGGCAACTGCACCAAGTTGGAGGAGCTGTATCTACTTTATAATCAACTGAGTGGCAGTCTTCCAGAAACCTTGAGTGAGATCAAAGGCCTCAGGATTCTTGATGCCACCAGCAACAGCTTCATAGGCGAGATCTCTTTCATTTTTGAGAACTGCAAGCTGGAAATATTCATCTTGTCATTCAATTATATAAAGGGTGAAATTCCATCATGGCTGGGGAATTGCAGGAGCTTGCAACAACTTGGATTTGTCAATAATAGTCTGTCTGGCAAGATTCCAAATTCTATTGGCTTATTGAGCAACCTCACATATCTTTTACTTTCACAGAACTCCCTGTCTGGGCCGATCCCTCCTGAGATTAGTAACTGTAGGTTGCTGCAGTGGCTAGAGTTGGATGCAAACCAGCTGGAGGGCACTGTTCCTAAAGGGTTGGCAAATTTACGGAACCTCTCAAAGCTCTTTCTGTTTGAGAATCGTCTCATGGGAGAGTTCCCTGAGAATATTTGGACTATCCAAACCCTCGAGAGTGTGCTTATTTATAGCAACAGATTCACAGGGAAGCTACCTTCAGTGTTAGCTGAGCTGAAGTACCTGGAGAACATTACACTGTTTGATAATTTCTTCACTGGAGTCATACCACAGGAGCTGGGTGTTAATAGCCCCTTGGTGCAGATAGATTTCACAAATAACAGTTTTGTTGGTGGTATCCCACCAAACATTTGTTCAGGAAAAGCATTGAGAATTTTGGACTTGGGGTTTAATCATCTCAACGGTAGCATCCCATCCAATGTTGTGGACTGCCCAAGTCTGGAGCTAGTCATTGTCAAAAACAATAACCTTGATGGGTCTATTCCACAATTCAAAAACTGTGCAAATCTAAGTTATATGGATCTGAGCCACAATTCCTTAAGTGGTAACATTCCTGCAAGCTTCAGCAGATGTGTAAACATTACTGAGATAAACTGGTCAGAGAACAAGCTTTCTGGGGCAATACCACCTGAAATTGGAAACTTAGTGAATCTGAAAAGACTTGACCTCTCACACAACATATTACATGGTTCAATGCCTGTGCAAATTTCCAGTTGCTCCAAGTTGTATTCACTTGATTTGAGTTTTAACTCTTTGAATTGTTCGGCCCTCAGCACAGTAAGCAACTTGAAGTTTCTGACACAACTACGATTGCAAGAGAATAGATTCAGCGGAGGCTTGCCTGAGTCTCTCTCCCAATTGGAAATGCTTATTGAGCTGCAACTTGGTGGAAATATTCTTGGGGGTAGTATCCCTTCATCATTAGGACAGCTGGTGAAACTGGGTACAGCCTTGAACCTTAGTAGCAATGGTCTAGTTGGTGATATTCCACCACAATTGGGTAATTTAGTGGACTTGCAAAACTTAGATTTGTCATTTAATAATCTCACAGGAGGCCTTGCTACATTGAGAAGTCTAGGTTTTTTGCAGGCCTTGAATGTTTCTTACAACCAATTTAGTGGACCAGTCCCAGATAATCTTCTGAAGTTTCTGAGTTCCACACCAAATTCTTTTAATGGAAACCCAGGCCTCTGTATCTCTTGCAGCACCAGTGATTCTTCTTGCATGGGAGCTAATGTTTTGAAACATTGTGTTGGGTCAAAGAAAAGAGGAGTGCATGGCCGATTCAAAATTTTCCTCATAGTTCTTGGTTCATTATTTGTGGGAGCAGTTCTGGTACTTATACTGTGTTGCATCATTCTGAAATCTCGAGATCGGAAGAATAATACTGAGGAAGCAGTCAGTAATATGTTTGAAGGTTCCTCATCTAAATTAAATGAGATTATAGAGGCTACTGAAAATTTTGATGACAAGTATATCATCGGTACAGGTGGTCACGGAACTGTTTACAAAGCAACACTGAGGTCAGGAGATGTTTATGCTATAAAGAAACTTGTGATTTCTGCACACAAAGGTTCATACAAAAGCATGGTTAGAGAACTGAAGACACTAGGAAAAATTAAGCACAGAAACTTGATAAAGTTGAAAGAATTTTGGTTCAGACGTGATAATGGATTCATACTGTATGATTTTATGGAAAAAGGTAGCCTTCATGATGTTCTGCATGTAATTCAGCCAGCACCAACTTTGGACTGGTGTGTGAGGTATGACATAGCTCTTGGCACCGCCCATGGGTTAGCATATCTTCACGATGACTGCCGCCCTGCGATCATTCACCGTGATATCAAGCCAAGTAATATACTGCTGGACATGGACATGGTGCCACATATTTCAGATTTTGGCATTGCAAAGCTCATGTACCAGCCTTCTACTGCTTCACAGACCACTGGAATCGTTGGCACCATTGGATATATGGCCCCAGGTATGGTTGAAACAAAGCACATTCATAACTGTTTCTTTTTCCTCACAAGCATGTATACATTAATTAGAAATTTCGGATTCTGAAATGTCTCGTGTAGCTGAAGCACTTATTTGAAATCTCAATGTACTAGAATTGTTTCCAGTAATCTGAGTGCAAGCATACACATTACCAATTACATCTCAGAAGTTTTTGACATCTCAAAAGTTCTGATAGAAGATTAAAGTCATGGAGAAGCTTCCAAATAGTTAATTCCTCTTGGAGAAAGAAATTCACAATATAAACATTTGGAAATTCAATTTGCCAGATACTGTCATGTCATTTTTTTTTGTTATATAAATATATAAATAATACTACACTTATAAGATCTGCTGGTGTACTTGTCATCTTGAAACTATGAAATGCAAACCTAAGACTGTCTCCAATAGGTGATCCATATAGGCACCCAAACCCAAAATAGATAGCAGGAGACTCAAAATCAGTCTCCAATAGAGTACCTATACGGAAGACCTATTTTGGGTTGTTTGAGAGGTACAACCTAAATATGAGTATCATCTCTTGGAAATCCATTTGTAGAAGTGATTCTCTTTTGGGTTCTGTTGTTGGAGAGGATGTTGAATGGGTATTGAACCCTTTGATTGTAGCGCTATCAAACGTTGAATGGATATTGTATTCTGGGTGTTGTTACTGGAGATAGTGTAATGAGCATGCGCTGTCTTGCAGAATTGGCGTTTTCCACCAAGAGAAGCGTGGAGTCCGACGTATACAGCTACGGCGTGGTGCTACTGGAGCTGCTCACCAGGAGGACGGCGGTGGATCCTTCGTTCCCCGACAGCACGGACATAGTCGGCTGGGTGTCGTCCGCGCTTAACGGCACCGACAAAATCGAGGCCGTCTGCGACCCGGCCCTCATGGAGGAAGTCTTCGGCACGGTGGAGATGGAGGAGGTGCGCAAGGTGCTGTCGGTGGCGCTGCGGTGCGCGGCCAGGGAGGCGAGCCAAAGGCCGTCCATGGCCGCCGTGGTGAAGGAGCTGACGGGCGTACGGCCTGCCACTGGCAGCGGCGGCGGCGGCCGGTCGTTGTCCGAGTCGAATCAGGGGAAACCGGGATCGCAATCCCACAGCAGCGCCTACTGGCAGTAGGATTCTTGATTGTGCCGAGCTGTTCGGGGACACCACCTTCCTGAACTTCTTGTAGTCTCTACTCTTTAGGTAGCCTTGCTTGGTGTACATCCTGATTGGTTAGTTGACAATGAATAAATTTAGTTGAAATGAAACGGATGAGGAGAGATGCTGGCTCGTGTATGAGTGCGAGGCTGCTTGTTCTTCTGAAATCTGTGGACTGTGGCTTGTCCGTGGCTTCGCGTCCATCGCGGTGTTGTAGTGGGCTGCTGAATCTCTCCGAGAGACCCAGATATGAAGCTGACACTCTTGGGAAAGGCGACATTCGGCTGCCGGCGGAGGAGAATTGCGACGAGATTGGGGGCGGTTTCACCGGCCGGGTGCAGCGGCGGCGGCTCAGGACAGGGGCCGTGATCGTTTCGGCTTATACGATCGTGTATTTTTCTCTCACGTTAATACAGCCAGCAGTACTTCTGACTTATAATCCATAATCGTTTCAACCGAAACGAATAGACTGATGATTGTTTTGCATCGGGGACGAGGGACGGTATTGGGAACCGCCGGAGATGCTCTTAGTCCCTTCTTGTTGTCTTTTGTCAGTTAGGCAGTAGCAGTTCTCTCTTCTTTCAGAAAGTTTTAAGTTTTTGCATCCTTCTATTTTTGAATCACTTTCAAGCAATAGTGATATGATATTTAAGCATTAATTAGCTCTTCATTAGAGCAGTTTTTAAATCAATTGCTTGAGCTAGTGCTCTGAAGGACAGCATGATGTAGTGATGAGAGCTGTTTCACTAAGTCACCAGGTCACGGGTTCGAAGCAGCATCTTCGTAGATTTTGCAGAAGAAAGCTTGCCTCGGTTTTTTTCTTCCCCAAACCTCACTCATATGGGAGCCTCGGTACTCGGTCTGCCTTTTTTTTTGAGCTAGTGCTCTCAGTTGTGATTTCTTTGGCTGCTGTTTTTCTTTTTTGTTTTGGACTGCTCTTTAGCACTTGGTGTCACAGTTCATTTGGCTCTTGTCATGCATACTCAAATTTGCTTCCACGATAAATTTATTGACGAAATTCATATTTTTGACTGACCGGCTTGTGTTGAAGTTGCTAACAGGGAGCCTGTACAAAATCAGGTATGTCTCTATTTTTCCGCTTCTTTGTTGGCTTTAGCTCTCACTAGTTCTAGACCTTGTGTAATTCTGTACAATTGCAACTACGGGAAAGGTTTTGTCAATCAGTGATGTTTAGTTCTGTGTAATAAGACGAACTGAGCTGTAGAGAAACGTTGCAGCTTGTGATTAAAAAAAACTTACCGACAGGGCTCCTGACTAACTAATACATCCACGTCATAGATTAGAAAACAATAAATTCTTATAAAAATATCCAGGCTTGGCTTCATCCATGGATAAAAACGTGGGTTTGACTTGAATACGATCAGAGTAGTAGACCTCTGGTTATTGTCGTTGGCTGAAATTCCTAACCTATGGATGCAGAGACGGAGCAAATTTTACAGTTCCGCTACTAATAATTAAGGGCGTGTTTAGATCCAAAAAAATTTTTGGGTTTTGGGTACTGTAGCACTTTCGTTTTTATTTGGTAATTAGTGTCTAATTATGGACTAATTAGGTTCAAAAGTTTCGTCTCGCGATTTCTCACCTAACTGTGTAATTAGTTTTTTTTTTATCTACATTTAGTACTCCATACATATGCCGCAAGATTCGGCGCGCAAAAATTTTTTGGTTTTGGATGGAACTAAACGGGGCCTAAGACAATTTTGTGAAAAGTGCTGAACATTTCTTTGGCATCGAACGCCCCCAAATCCCCGTTTAAAAAATGCCGCCAGTCTGAAGCTAAATTCAAAAACTCACGTCCTGTGTGAACTTGCGCCGCGCAGGGTACACAGCCCAGGCTGGACTAGCTCCAAAAGGCAGGCGCCTGCACGGCTGCAGTGTCTAGACCTGGAGTCCTGGACCGGCTTCGCTTGTGCCACCGCCACCAGTCCAGTCCTCCACCACCGCCGCGCTGCCACTGCCCACCGCTCTCTTTCTCGTCCGCCGTGGATGCTGCTAGTGCTAATGAAAACTAGAGCATGGCGCCTGCCGGCCCCCATTTTGCAGGATCCTCCCGCCCGCGGTCACCGCGAGTTGCTGTCTCTGATCTGGTAAGCGCCGCTCACTCGCTCGCTTCTCCCTGTGCTCCCGGTCGAGCAGGGGGCGGTACTTCCTGTTGTGTGTTGCTTGTTGTTTCAACGAACCGCCGCTCCATCATTCGTTTCGTTCCTGCTGTCTTGTCTGTCGCATTGAGAGAGTGTTGTTCAGGAACGAAGCAAATCCGGTGGCTGTTTCATTTGTAGCCCACTGAAATGAGATTTCCTGGGTGCCAATTTCCCTAAGAATGTTTTTTTTAAAAGATAATTTCCCTGAGAATGTTTCTGCTGTGCCTAGGAAGCTTCTTATTCTTGGGTGGTGCCGTCGGTGGAGTAGTGCAGACTGCAGAGGATCTCTCGCTTGCAATTGCAACCCAGGTGCCCATTTTTCTTTTAAAATAAAAAAAAAAGAAATCGGAGGTGCCCATGAGCCCATTGTGGTGGTGCGGTGGTGCCCATTAAGGAAATGCTTCTGTGTTCGAGATCGGATCCCATGTCGTTGATCGGTACTCCCTCCGTACTAAAAAAATAAAGTCGTTTTGGAAATATAAATCATGAATAATTTTTAAGTTGTTGAGTTTGGAAATGTGAAAACCATATGTATAGATTTGTCTTGAATAATACTTTCATAAAAATTTACATATATCATTTTTTAATAAATATCTTTATAAAAATAAGTAGTCAAAGTTATGCTTTGGAGACCGTGTCGCTGTCCAAAATGACTTCACTTTTGAGTATGGAGGGAGTATGGCTTATGTTGAACAGAAGATCGGCTTTGTCGTATCTACTCAAGTAAGAACTAAGAAGCCCGTCACAAACTCACAGTTCCTGACCCCTTTTAGGAAAATGTGAGTTTTCCTTCTTCATTTGCTTGCAGTGGCGTCGAGAACAATCCGGCATCTTTTGAGTAATTAAGGAGTCATTCAAATCCCGGTGGATTCTAAAAAATCTGGATAAAAAAAATCTAGTATGTTCATTGGATCTATGTCTATACTTTAAAATCCAATAGAATCTAGCATGTTTGGATGGGATTCTAGGATTACGAGATTCTTTTTAATCCAGATTCACAAAATCCCTTGGGAACCAAACGGGGCCTAAGTTTAGCATTGGGTTTTGGCTTTGCCATCTTTGCATTTTGATTCTCTCACAGTATGGTTATCGAAACTACCGGTAGGTTCACTTCATTGTCCATGGTTTCTAGCAGTTTGGGGGCCTCAAGTTAATCAAACCAATTTATTCTTCTATTATACTATATAATTATGTTTTTTCATGAGTATGTTCTACGTGATGGAAATGTTTTTCAGAACAGTAGGCTTGGTTTATTCAATCAAGATTAAAAGTTAGAAAACAGTTTCCACCACCTTTTATGAGGAAAACAAAAGTAACTTGTAGTTTCTTCAAATTGTGCCCGAATGTTGCTTTAGGGGGAAAGTTACCAATGTGTGCACCTTTGATAATGACAACTGTACATATATGTAATCTCCATTTGTTTGTGTATTGGCCTACTTGTATATAGGAGATATAAAATGATCTTGTGCTGATTTCTATGCAAAATTTCAGGAACAAGATGAAGCTAGTTTTCTGGCATTGGTTTTGGCTATTCTTCATGTCATTACTTTCGTCATCAGAGGGTTTGAGTTCAGATGGCCTAGCTCTTCTTGCTCTGTCGAAAAGCCTCATACTTCCAAGTTCCCTAAGGTCCAACTGGACTGCTTCTGATGCAACTCCTTGTGCATGGAACGGTGTTGGTTGCAATGGAAGGAATAGAGTGATTTCTCTCGACCTATCATCATCATGGGTTTCAGGTTCAATCGGACCTGAAATAGGGCATCTGAAATGCCTGCAAAATCTCAGTTTAAGTGCTAACAACATATCTGGTTCGATCCCTCGTGAATTGGGCAACCTCAAGAAATTGTCATTACTATCACTGTACCAAAACTCTTTTGAGTGGAACAATACCAGACGAGTTGTTCAGGAACCAGTTACTGGAGAAAGTGTACCTACATGGCAATCAGCTCAGTGGTTCGATACCCTTATCGGTTGGTGAAACGACAAGCCTGAAGTCCTTGTGGTTGCATGAAAATATGTTGTCTGGAGTTTTGCCCAGTTCAATCGGCAACTGCACCAAGTTGGAGGAGCTCTATCTGCATAAAAATATGTTGTCTGGAGTTTTGCCCAGTTCAATCGGCAACTGCACCAAGTTGGAGGAGCTCTATCTCCATGATAATCGACTGAGTGGCAGTCTTCCAGAAACCTTGAGTGAGATCAAAGGCCTCCGGATTTTGGATGCCACTAGCAATCGCTTCGCAGGCGAGATCTCGTTCAGTTTTGAGAACTGCAAACTAGAAATATTCATCTTGTCATTCAATAATATAAAGGGCGAAATTCCATCTTGGCTAGGGAATTGCAAGAGCTTGCAGCAACTTGCATTTGTCAGTAATAGTTTGTCTGGTACAATTCCAACTTCTCTAGGCTTATTGAGCAACCTTCACACATCTTTTTCTTTCTCAGAACTCCCTGTCTGGGCCAATCCCACCTGAGATCGGTAACTGTCGGTTGCTGCAGTCGCTAGAGTTAGAAGACAACCAGCTGGACGGCACTGTTACTGAAGAGGTCGCAAATTTACGGAACCTGTCAAGGCTCTTTCTGTTTGAGAATCGTCTAACGGGAGACTTCCTTGAGAATATTTGGAGTATCCGAACCCTCGAGAGTGTCCTTATTTATAGCAACAGATTCACAGGGAAGCTACCTTCAGTGTTAGCTGAGCTGAAGTCCCTAAAGATCATCAAACTGTTTGATAATTTCTTTACTGGAGTCATACCACAGGAGCGGGGTGTTAATATCCCCTTGGTCCAGATAGATTTCACAAATAACAGTTTTATT